AGAAAATATTCTTTTAACAAAATCATAGAAAAAATTTCCTAATCTAAAGAAGGGCATGTCTATAAGGTACAAGAAGGTTACAGGAGACCAAGTAGAGAGGACCAGAAAAGAAAGACCCCTTGCCACATATTAATCAAAACACTAAACACACAGAAAAAAGAAAAAATATTGAAAGTGGCAAGAGAAAATGGCCAAATGACATATAAAGACAGACCTATTAAAATTGCAAGCAACTCCTCCATGGAGATCCTAAAAGCCTGAAGGGCCTGGACAGATGTGCAAAGACTGTATGTGACCACAGATGCCACACCAGACTACTATACCCAGAAAAATTTCAATCACCAAAGATGGAGATAAAAAATTCTATAATACAGTCAAATTTAAATAATTATCCTCCAATCCAGCCCTACAGAAGATACTAGAAGAAAAACTCTAACTATACCCATGAAAACTAAGGAAATGAAAAATCTCATACCAGCAAAACTGAACAAAGGGAAACATAAACAACACACACACACACACACACACACACACACATACACACACCCCAAACACATAAAGCATACTACCACCACTAACAATGACAAGGAAATAACATGAATGAACAATCATGGGTCATTGATGTATCCAAATATCAATGAAATAAATTCTCCAATAAAAAGACACTGGCTAACAGAACGGACATGAAAGCAGCATCCATCCTTCTGCTGCATATAAGAAACATACCTCAACACCAAAGACAGATATTACCTCAGAGTAAAAGGATGGAAAAAGATTTTTCAAGCAAATGGCCAGAAGAAGCAAGCTGGTGTAGCTATTCTAATATATAACAAAATGGACTTCAATATAAAAATTAATCAAAAGAAATGGGGAAGGACACTTCATATTCATCAAAGGAAAAATACACCAAGAGTATGTCTCAGTTCTCAGTATCTATGCCCCAAACAAAGGACATTCATGTTTGTAAAGGAAACACTATAACAGCTTAAATCACAAATTGACCATCACAAATTGATATTGAGAGACTACAATACCCTGCTTTCACCAATGGACAAATCATCCAGACAAAAACTAAACAAATACTGGAGCACACAAACATCATGACCCAAATGGACCTAGTAAATATCTATAGAACATTCCACTCAAACATAAAAGAATAAACTTTCTTCTCAGCACCTCACTGAACATTCTCCAAAATTGACCACATACTCAGTCCCTAAGTAAGTCTCTACAGATAAAAGAAAATTGAAATAACCTCCTGCATCCTATTAGAGCATCATAGATCAAAGCTACATTTCAACAAGAGAAACAAAAAGCTTACAAACTCATGGGAACTGAACAATTCTCTATTGATTGACTACTGCATCAAGGCAGAAATAAATAAATTAAAGAGTTCCAAGAGTTCAATAAAAATGAGTGTACAGCATACTCAATTCACGGGATACAATGAAAGCAGTGCTAAGAGGAAATTTCATTGCATTATGTCTTCATAAAGTATTTGGAGAAATCTCACACTAGCGGCTTAATAGCACACTTGAAAGCTCTAGAATTCTTTGCTCCTCTCTGTGTTCCTCTTTTCGTGCAGTGCCAGACTCCTTCCTGAGACACAATGGTTGGAGTGACAGATTTGGCCAAATTGGACGCCTGGTTTTCAGGGCTGCCTTCCAGTCTGGCAAAGTTGAAATTGTTGTCATCAACGATCCCTTCGTTGACCTCAACTACATGGTCTACATGTTCCAGTATGACTCTACCCATGGCAAGTTCAACGGAACAGTCAAAGCTGAGAACGGGAAGTTTTTCATCAACGGGAAGGCCATCACCATCTTCCAGGAGCAAGATCCCACCAACAGCAAGAGGGATGAGGCTGGTGCCGAGTATATTGTGGAGTCTACTGGTGTCTCCACCACCATAGAGAAGGCTGGAGCCTACTTGAAGGGTGGAGCCAAAAGGGTCATCATCTCTGCCCCTTCTGCTGATGCCCCCATGTTTGTAATGGGTGTGAACCATGAGAAGTACGACAATTCACTCAAGATTGTCAGCAATGCTTCCTGTACCACCAACTGTTTAGCTCCCCTGGCCAAGGTCATCCATGACAACTTTAGCATTGTGGAAGGACTCATGACCACAGTCTACGCCATCACTGCCACCCCTCTGGGAATGGCCCCTCTGGGAAGCTGTGGCATGATGGCCGTGGGGCTGCCCAGAACATCATCCCTGCATCCATCAGTGCTGCCAAGACTGTGGGCAAAGTCATCCCCGAGCTGAACAGGAAGCTCACGGACATGGCATGTTCCTACCCCCAATGTGTCTACTATGGATCTGACATGCCATCTGCAGAAACCTGCCAAGTGTGATGACATCAAGAAAGTGGTGAAGCAGGCATCAGAGGGCTGCTAAAGGGCATCCTGGGCTACACTAAGGACCAGGGTGTCTCCTTTGACTTTGACAGTGATCCCCACTCTTCCACCTTCAATGCTGGGGCTGGCATTGCTCTCAATGACAACTTTGTGAAGCTCATTTCCCGGTACTTCAATGAATACTGTTACAGCAACAGGATGATGAACCTCATGGCCTACATGGTCTCCAAGGAGTAAGAAGAATGCCCTGGAACACCCACCCCAGCAAAAACAAGAAGAAAGAGACCCTTGGCTGCTGAGCAGTTCCTGTCCCATCTCAGCCCCAGACACTGAGCATGTCCCTCATACTTTCCATCCCAGACCCCCAGAACAACAGGAGGGGCTTAGGGAACCCTGCTGTCTTGAATACCATCAATAAAGTTCACTCAAACCACTCCCCAAAAGAAAGCTCTAGAACAAAAAGAAGCAAATTCACCCAGGTGGACTAGACAGGAGGAAATAATCTAACTCAGGGCTGATATCAATGAAATAGAAACAACTTGAACAATAAACATATACAAATAATTAAGGAAACAAAGAGTTGGTTGTTTGAGAAAATCAACGGGATAGACAAATACACAAATTAACACATCAGAAACAGAAAAGGGGACATTACAACAGTCACTGAGAAATAATCCAGAGAATTATTGTCATAGTTTTAAAACCTATATGCCTCAAAATTGAAAAATCTAAAAGACATGGACAAATTTCTTGATAGATACCACCTATAAAAGTTAAATCAGTATCCGATAAACAATTTAAATAGATGTATAACTCCCATTGAAATAGAAGTAGTTATTAAAAGTCTCCCAACCAAAATAATAATAATAATAATAAAGCCCAAGGCCAGACAGTTTCAGAACAGAATTATACCAGACTTTAAAAGAAGAGCTAATACTAATACTCTTCAAATTATTTCACAAAATAGAAACAAAATGAATATTGCCAAATCCATTTTATGAGGCCACAGTCACCTTGATTCAGTAGTTGTAAAGCAATGCAAGTTTTCCAAAACAGTGGGTAAAAAGTAGGAGAAATCATGCAATAAAAATAGTAGGATGGAAAAAATGCTCTCCTTCTGCCCCTTTAGCCTTTCCTTCTAGCCCATCTCCATTCGTGTTGACACCTGTCCACCCACTCTTTACCACCCACCCCAAGTGGCCACACGAGATTGGGACTCAGGTATGGAAAGACAAATTTGGGAAGTTTTATAAATAATGTTCATGTGCACACTGATGATTATATAGCTACAATGATAAGTATGCAAATAAAATGAATATTAAATATTTACATTAGAGTAACATAGGAAAAACTCAGCTATCAATATGTCTATTACAGACTTGTTTAAATTGAAGATCAAACCTAATAGGCATACAAGAATTAAAATAACTTTCCAGTGAAGAAGTTCAGCTATAGAATATCCACTAAAATTATTTGATTTTAAATAAATTTTAAGTGTTTCATCACAAAAAAATACAATGATGCTAAAATGAATGAGAAATTAGGGTATTAAAAATATCTTTTTCATTTGAGAGTTTGGAAGCTCAGCAGCAAGTATACTGCGATCCACTAGAGGGCAGTGATATCATTTTAAAGTTGTACTGACTGATTTCATAAAAGAAAAACCCCGCAGTAAAAACTTTTTTAAAAAGTAGAAGAAAAGGAAATACACATTGTAAACCTAATTTAATTTAATCAACAGGGATCTAGTAAAGCTTTACTCACATCCTAATATTCTAGAAATATTTGAAATAATAATTTTTTTAATATTTACAAAGATCAGTTAGAAAATGTTTCCAAATAATTAAAATTTCACTAAAAGTAAACAAATATGTTTAAATCCTAAATATCCATTATAATACTTTCTGTGTGCACAAGAACATATAAATGCATGTGTGTGGTAGATCAAAACCTCATTTAGTATTGTTTAAGAATATTCATAATATTACTTTTCTAAGGAAATTTTGTCTTAAAATTAATGAACAGACATTTTAAGGAAATACTATATACTAACATTGTCCAGAAATAATTTATAAAGAGACATATTGAAAAATTGTTAGCCACATGATACAAATTTGCATGTTTCTTCTACTTTTATCTTCTATTATATCAACAAAAAGAGGATGTATGTAATTACTGAGTTCCAAAAATAAAATATGGCTCAAAGAATAATTTGTCCTATCTTGCAATTCAGTTCCACAAAGTGTAGAGTTCTCAGATGATCTGACAGAGCATCAGAAGACACCTGCACAAATTTTTCCACCTATACAATAAGAATCTTGTGAAAGTCTGCTGAACTGCCTCTTTGTTTTCAACAGTGTTCAAAACTCCTGATTCTGGAATTTATAACTCTCCATGGAGAAAATATAGCCATACAAAACATTTATTTGCTCTTAATCAAAGGCCTTGGAATGTTACAGTAAGAAAAGATACATTTTCTCGTCCAAAATCAGTATTTTGTCATTTGTTAATGGAAAGAGGATTTTCCACTGATAGTGATTATTCCTGTTTTTGTTTGTTTTTTTTTTTTAGTACTTAATATTTTACCCACATGTAAGCAATTTCAGAAATTTCAAGTTAGCTTTTAAAAGTATTTTTACTTACTTGTCTGTAGCTCCTTCTCTCTGGCCTGCACACCAGCAAAGATGTAGTTAAAATGATTTGTAAAGGCCACAAAGTCTGCGTCCAGGAACATTGGCCCCTGTCCTTTCTCTTTCAGGGATATGCTCTGGATTTTTAACTGCTCAATTTGAGGCTGAAGAGCTGATAGCCTGTTGACTTCATCCTGAGTCATAATTCAGAATATTACAAATACGTGAATTTGTATATACTATATTGTCACAAAGAAAGTTGTTTACAGCCTGTAATATGAGATCAGGTTAATCCCCTTGTCAAATACTCTATTACAAGTCATCAATTTGAGAATACTATAGTTCTTGTTCATTTTGAATCATCATGATGTAACATAATTTCAGAATGATTATTTAGAACATTAAAGCACACAAATGTGCATGTTTGCAATGCTTAAGAAATAAAAACAACTTAAAATTTCACTAAATTAAATCAAATAAAGATGTTTATCTTTAGTACTTTTTTATTTCAAAATTGTCTTTGTTTTAAATTCTAAGGTCATTCAGTGAATAACAATTTTTTCAATTCATATGTTCAAAATAGATTGCATGTAGTTAATATACATATATGAATTTACATGAATATATGAATTTGTAAATCTCTATACAGTATAGATTCTGTGCCTATACTATATTTTATTTATGTATGTACAAATACATATGGTTACACCTATAATTTTCTATATTTTACCCAGCCTCATTTCCTTTTCTGGCTAGTCAGTTGCTCCCATTTTAATGAGAGAAATTGTTTTCCACTTTCTTGTCACAAACTTTCATAGCATAGTACCCACTTTCAATCTCCAATGTAGCCTGTATTCAATTGTACTATGACAAAAATCACATGTACAATACTTTGAAGTCCGCTATAGCACTCTCTAGCTTAATTTAGTACTAAGAAACTGGCATGTTGGTAGTGTAAATTAAGGTATGTTAATGTGATGAAAATGAACTCTGAATTTTGAAGACAGAAGATATATATATATATATATATATATATATATATATATTAAACTATCATTTAAAATATTGATTAAACTTTTAATAGTAGTTTGACTAATACATCTAAACAAAATATACTAATGAAATTCCTTTGTCACTTTCTTTTTATGTTTTGCATTTTTTTTACTGTTTGGCAGTTTCATACAAGTTCTTAATACTGTTCAGTAGTTTCTCCCCACCATTCCTATCTTTCATGCCTTTTGTTAGGCTGATGGAATCCTTCTTCTTATCAAGCCCCCCTCCTAGTTCAAGACTTACTTTTGTATATGACCCATTGAGTTTAATTTGAATATCCTGCCAAAGTGGGGGGTGGGAAATTATTTACCAAAGCAAGTAAATTATCAGTGGCTCCAGCCCTGAATAAAATGACATCACAACCCAGAACAAATGTTAACTGCTAATAGTCTCTAGGGCTTGGGCCACAGTGACCCTCTCTTTTTCCATGATTAAATATTGCATATTGAAAAATATACATGACTCTTAAATTTGGAATTTCCATTGTATTCTTTCAGCCATATTGTTTTCTATATAAATATTTTAGTCTCATTTCAAGTGAAGTTACAATTGGTTTATGCTTCATATATACATATATACATATACATATTTATATATACATTACTTACCAAATCAAATACTCTTAAATTCTTTTTCAGTGCATTTTTAGCGTGGTTGCTTACTTATAATTCATATCTATGCTACCTTTCAAAAGTACTTGGGTTTGTTTAGTACTTAATATGCAAAAATCATGATAATTAAAATTAAAAATGGGATCATGAGCCAATTAAATGGAGAGGAAATTTAAAATTATAGCAATTAGGAACTAAATTTAAATCTGAGCTTACTGGAAATCATACTAAAATGGCAAAATAAATTGTTGGTTTAGGACGCGTGTATGGTTATTTGGAGAATCCTATATTATGAGAATTGATTGAGATAATCTCTCATAAAGGCAAGAATATAAATGGGCAATACTTTTTTCTTCTGATTTCCAAATACATAAATATAAGTTTGAGAAAAATGTGGCTATGTGGCTCTAACAGTAGGACTCTTTGCTACTGACAAACTAATTGATTCAGAAATTAAAGACTGAAAATATAATATTCATTTTGAAAGGAACTATTCAGCTTCAAAAACTTGTTAACAATTAGTCATTGTTTTCATAGAAGAACTTAGTGTTCTTGGTCCCCCAGAGTAAAATTTCTTCCCTGAATGTGCTTCCTCTTTAAAAATATGTATATTTACTAGTGGGAGTAGAGTGAGGGGAAACTGTGTTTGGGATGTAATATATGAAGGAACAATAAAAAAGTACATTTAAATAATATAACACCAAATAGGAGCCTCCACCATCTGAGAAAATGTAAACATGTTTTTTACAAATCTGAAAAGGCTCTCTCACCTCTAACATATTGGAGCATGAGCTAAATTTGTATTCTAATATTTAAGAATATCTAAAGGTAATAAAGAAATAAAATGGATAAAAAATCAATTACCAAACACCAATGTCAGGCCTCTAATATAATCTTAGCTTGTCAGTGAACGACATTATTCTTACACCACTAAATATTTTACATAAACCAATTAATAAAATCATTTAGAAGCAAAAGGCCAGGCAGAAAGACAAAGAGCTTAGATAGAAGTATGGGATAGTGCTGACAGGATTAGGAACTTTGTTAGTGAGTGTAATATAGAGATATTTTCACTTCAAATAATTTCATAATGATAGAATATTCTATGGATCTGTCTGTGTTTTCTATTTGTGAATGAGATTAAGACTAAGATTGTGGTATGACTCTCAGGCCCCTGTTCTGTCCAATATTTCTGCCTTAATACATCTTACTCAGCCCACTCACCCACTGCACTGTTTTTAATACTCATATCATAGCCCTTCTTCTACATTTGTGGTCTTTATTTCTCCATGTTTCTGAGTATACTATTCTTTTATTTAACATCAAATCATCCCAAATACCCAATGCAAATGCTCTTCGATAAAAGAAGCTACCTGCCGGTTTCTGTGCATGTCATGTTTTACTTTTAGATGTTCTCCAATATTGTATAAAACATTTATTTCCATGGTAGTTCTACATTATTTTATTTAATCATTTGCCTAGTACCTATCTCCTCTACTCTGGGTAAATGCGATGAAACCAGTGTCAATGAACATTCCTCTCTCTTTCCTAGAACTTAGTGCTTTGAATTTAATTGTGATTTCTCAAAATATATATGCTGAAGCCTTAACACTCAATGAAAGTATATTCGGAAAAGGGGGTTTGGGTAGGCACTAAAGGTTACAGTTAATTAAGCTATCAAGGCAGATTCCTAATCTCATAGTGCTGGTTGCTTTACAAATTGAAGGAAATGTTTCTCTCACTCTTCTATTTTGTCCATTTACACAAACTGTGAAAGGTCATAGACATACCCAGTGAGTAAGTAGGCAGCCAGCTACAAAGCACTAATAGAGTCCTTACAAGAGATGAATTCTGATAGATATTGATTTCAATTTCAATCCTCCAGAACAGTGAGAATATATTCACAATGATTAAATGACCCAGTCTGTGCTATTTGTTCTATCAGCAAGCTAGCTCATGTACACACTATCATTATTGGTCACATTATAGATCATATATAAATAAATAAATAAATAAATATATACATACACACACACACACACACACACACACACATATATATATATATATATATATATATATATATATATATATATATATATAATATCTCCTCGGTGTCTGTTTATACATCTAAATTTCAAGAATGGAGTTAAGATGACATAACTCTACATTGGTTGTTTAAGAAAGGATCTCACTATGTTGTGTATGCTTTCTTCAAATAAAAAAAGTCATCCAGTCTTTTCCATTCCTAGTAATTACACGACTGACGACTGTCTTCATCATAAATTTGTTGCAGAAAATACTGCATGTAAACTGTTTCTCAGAGAAATAGAAAACAGGCTGTGGGCTACAGTATCTAAATACAAATTATATCTAAACAAAGAAATCCTACAGTTTGTGTGTTTGCCCATTAATGCAAAGGCCTTTCTGTTTCAAATTCACTGTGTAAAACTATATTTTTCTGAGTTTGTTCACTTCCTAGTACATTTACAGAAATTAAAGAAAAATATATCAAATCCCCTTTTTGTTTCAGAACATCTTTACAGTTACCAATATCGTTTGAATATAATGTTTTCTTCCAGACCAAGACTGTCAGCTGTCTGTATCCACTCACCCTTCATTTAAAACATTCTTGTTGAAAGTATACAGATTAATCTCTCTTCATACTAAATGTACACATCACAGTCTATCAGTAAGGTATGTTCGTGATATCTTTTAACCTAGCCTCTAATCAATTTCTTGTTTCCCAGGGACAGTGTCAAGTTCTTTTCATTACTATTAATTTTTAATTTTCATTACTTGAAGATGAGCTCTTTTAATCTCTTACTTGGACCCTGAGTTCCAGTTCCACCTTGTTTGCTCATTCTCTTCTTATGACCCAGGAGAATTTACAGATCACACCTCCTTATTCTTTGCCTCCTAATTAAGTCTAGTCAGTGGGGAGCCCTGTCTAGATTCTTCAGGCAGAGAAGATGATAAAATTGCTTGTTTATTTTTCTTGCTCTATTTCCATGCAGGTGCCTTGTGCTCACTCTTAAGACTGCCTTTACTATAGGGTTCTGACTCTCTCCTGTGTATTCACAATTTCTATACTGATTCTATCTTAGAAGAGAGAATAGCTTGGCTTGATCTGGTCTTTCTTTGGGTTTTAGCTATAGAGCAAGAACATTAGTAAAATATTGCTACTCAAAATGTCCAGTCTTATATATGTCATTACATTTATTGATTTTTTAACCCATTCTACATCATAAGGCTTTATTTTTTTTTTTGCTTTTTTTCTAAGTTTTGAGTTATTATTATTTTTTTTTGTGTGATATATATTTTTTATTTTACAATACCATTCAGTTCTACATATCAGCCATGGGTTCCCCTATTCTCC